GACACAACCCTCAGTTGAATTCGAGGTGCATGGTATCCACCTTTTCGGGCAGTCCATGAGATGCCATGGCAACCTCAGAGTCCTCGAGCTCGGTTTTCATCCCCTGCTTCTATTCAGGCTCGGAACAATGCAGCAAGCCTTTCACCCAAGGACAGTTCGGCCAAGGCAGGGATGGACAACTGATGCCTATGGACAGCCTACTCCCATCTGCTACCGCTGTGGACAACCTGGACACGTCAGCTGCAAGTGTACAGTTAGGATGGATCACAGCTGGAACCCGTTAAACTTAGGAGGATGTGGGACAAGTTATGGATTTCAGTGTACAGGGTCCCAAAGATGATGATATAACTGGCCTTGTGGGTACTGCATCAGAAGTGAAAGTTGCCGTTCATGGAGTGAACACTAAAGCCCTACTGGATACCAGAGCTACAGTATCAACCATGAGCGAGTCCTTCCATTGAGATCCCCTGTTCCACCTCCCTATACAGCCACTTAAAGGTATACTGCATGTACAGTGTGCTGATGGTAAGCCACTACCATATTCTGGAGATGTAGAGATACCACTTAGGTATGTCACCAGCTGACCAGCAAGGTTTATTTCTTGTTGTTCCTGACAGTGACAACAACGAGAACGCACCTGTTCTTATTGGCACACACATTTTGCATGTGTTTATGGTCATGGGAACAGATTTTTACAGCGTGCTAATCTATTTAGTCTGTGGTACCTTGCCTTCAGATGTCTTGTACTTAGGGAGAAGGAGTTAGTCAAGCGCCAGAATAGGTCAGCTGTAGTGAAGAGAGCCGAGTTCAAGAGATTTATCATCCCACCTAATAGTGAAGTAAAGATTCATGGATATCTGGATAAACCTCTTGATTATCACTCCACTTGTGGTGTACTGCAAGCTAATAAGACTTCCACAATGCCAGACGACCTAGACATTGCCCCAAGTCTAGTCTCCTACAACAGTAAACAGAAGATGGGAGTTGATGTTTACATCTGTAATGTCACCACCAGGACTGTTTCTATACCACCCAATGCAATACTTTGTCAAGTACAGCCAGTGACCATTGAAGACATACCAAGACACCTGCCACTAGTGATGGACCAGTGATTGAGAAGATGGACTTTAAAGAAGCGGCTGTGACTCCTGATGAACTGGTCAGAGGCAAAGATGTTATCAGACAGCACTTGGACATCTTCTCAACTGGGGATACAGATGTTGGTTGCACTGACAGGCTGGTACATAGGATGAAGCTGACTGATGAGTGCCATACCGCATTCATACAGTTTTAGGTTTTGAAAATGTTTAAGTAATAATTTAGTTTAGTAAAGTGTACATTGACCATGCAGTATTTAAGTAGATAACATATTGTACAGATGTATTACAATGCAGTTTAGATTGACTCAAAACTTGACTACTTGCTACTACTACTACTACTACTACCACTGCCACTACCACTATTGCTGCTGTTCCTACCTTTACTAGTATTTCTACTATTGCTGCTACAACTACTACAACTTCCACTACTGCTACCACAAGCTACAATTCCTTCTGCTACTACTACTACTACTACTACTGCTACTACTACTACTACTACTACTACTACTATTGCAATTTGAAATACAACTTGGGTAATTGTTATTTATGAGTATACTAAATGTAATTCATAAACTGGAAGAAACCATTCAGGCCACAGGTTTAAATGAGCTCTGCCCCACACTGACGAGTAATAGAATGCTGGGGAACTAGTCAGTCCCCACTGGGACTTGCCTGATACTAATTAATCTCTCAAGGCATGGTTTGTTTGTTTGTTTGTTTCAGAGTCTCCTTCTTGGAATCTGAAATGCATGCATCGAACAATCTAAATGAGCAGTTGAAGGATGGAAACTGACGACAACGTGCCACAAGATGGCGCTGTGGCTAGGCCTTCTACAGATACTGTAGCTTACACAGAGGGAAGTCAGCAGCAGGGGAGACAACCCACTACAACATCAACACAAGATGGCGCTGTGGCTAGGCCTTCTACAGATACTGTACCTGCCACAGAGGGAAGACAGCAGCAGGGGGGACAACCCACTACAACATCAACACCAAAAGGCGCTGTGGCTAGGCCTTCTACAGATACTGTAGCTGCCACAGAGGGAAGTCAGCAGGGAAGACAACCCACTACAACATCAACACAAGATGGCGTTGTGGCTAGGCCTTCTACAGATACTGTAGCTGCCACAGAGGGAAGACAGCAGCAGGGGGGACAACCCACTACAACATCAACACCAGATGGCGCTGTGGCTAGGCCTTCTACAGATACTGCAGCTGTCACAGAGGGAAGACAGCAGCAGGGGGGACAACTCACTACAACAGCAACACCAGATGGCGCTGTGGCTAGGCCTTCTACAGATACTGTAGCTGCCACAGAGGGAAGACAGCAGCAGGGGGGACAACCCATTACAACATCAACACAAGATGGCGCTGTGGCTAGACCTTCCACAGATACTATA